TTTTCATTACTTAGGAAACCTGTCATTCATACCATTCAGGAGGTTGGCATTATTTATAGCTGTACCCTAGGCATATGTAGCTTAGAAACCAGAGAGGGTGGCTGACATTTTATAAGAAGATGGCAATAAAACTCAGAATTGCTGAGGTCAAGTATAATGTGCTAGTAAAATGTGACATTAGTTTTTCCTCTTTGGTTAAACCATGTTCCCACCTTCTGCTCTCTTCCTTCAGGGAAACAGGGCTTATGATTTAGTAGGCCCCTTTAAATTAGAGCCCTTCTGGCTCTCTTCCTTCAGGGAAACAGGGCTTATGATTTAGTAGGTCCCTTTAAATCTAGCTATCTCCCCTTTCATGAAAGAGAAAAAAGTGTGGAACATAATGGAATGAATTTGTAGTAAACAAATTCCATGGAAATTTTACCCAAGAACAGCCCCGGACATCCTGTCAAGCGAGGGTTTGTGTGGAACACCTCTGAAAACACTTCCAGTTCCTTCACAGCCTTCTCTGTCTCCATTATAAATGTTTCCATATTTCTTGCAAGCTAATAACATTTGACAATATTTTAAAGGCCAGTTGCCAGGTTGACTTAGGATATTACAGGGTAAAACTTTGGTTTGCTCTTCCCTTCAAATTTCACTAAATATTAACTCAGACCTTCCTAGCCATTAACTCCCAAGGGCATACGTCAAGGTCCCACTTAGAGATGGGACAGATTGGTCATTACTGTATGAAAAGAACCCGGGAGCTGGAGGCTGAAAGCTTGGGTCCTGACCTTCCCAACCACAGCTTACAGGAGATACGATCTGGATACATTTCAAGGCAACAGGAAAACTTCGGACCTTAAGACTAGAAAAAACCAGACTTTTGTTTTCTGTTTCTCCCTCAGTTTTTGCCCCCTTCTTGGGTTTGAATGAACTGCTTAAAAACCGTCCGGGCATCACCCCTCAAGGCATCTGTGATTCTGAAGACTTTGCAGTCAGAGGTGGAATACTTGTCTTTTCACCAGCCACTCCCCATTTAGCAGGGGAGACAGCACAGGGTAGCTAAGGCTGACAAGAACTCTCCCTGCATTGGTAAGTTAAGAAATGTGTGAAGTCGAATTCAAGAAGCTGAGCTACATTTTAAGACACAAATCAGGGTGAGCAGACTGTCAGATGATCATGAGTTTTATTAAGTGGGAAGAAATGTGATAACTGAAAATTAATGCAACCAAGGACACTTTATGGAAACTATTCCCACAGTCTTGTATTTAAGGTAATAGATCACTGATTCTAGGGGGTCACTGGTGGTGTTTTTCCAAAGGTATCTGTTCTAAAAGCACAACGGTAAAATGAATTCCATAGTTATTTTTCTACTCACAGCAACGGCCATTGAAGTCGTTGCCCCTAAGCGCTCAGTGGTTAAAAGCACTTGCTGCTGGTACAGAGGACCCAGGTTTGGTTCCCAACACCCGTGTTAGGTAGCTAGCTCATAACCATGTGCAACTTCTGCTTCAAGGGATCTGACACTTTCTTCTGGCCTCTGCTAAAATTTGCATTCCTGTGCAAATACTCCCACACAGAAACACACATACACGCAACTACGGACATCAGTAGACTGTCCCTGGTTCTGCTTGGCCAGCTTCGGAAGGATGCGCTGACACTGGAAGAGGAAAAGGCCGCCAAGTCGGCAGAGTCCAGGAAAAGCGGGGCTATTAAACTTCTTAGAACAGAGTCGCCGATTCCTAGAACTGGAATTTTTCTTTGACAGCACGTATCCCAGAATGTTCCTGACAAATAACAAATAGTTTTTTAAAACCAGTTGTATGTTGAGGACCAACTACACGCCTCCCCTGTTTTGTCTCCCCTGGTTATTCCTGTCAGTACTGTTCAACCGAGTGCCTTTTGTTCTTTAAGGGAGAATTTAGCTACTTAAGCGACAAGATGTGAATAATTTCAAAATGTCGTAATTTTGAAAACTCTGAGAATCCTTAGGGATAACGAGGTCCTGTCCTTGAGGCTCAGACAGTGACAGGCCAGGAGTCTGAGGACACTAAAACCCTGATGCGTCAGTTGTACACTCTTGAGGGACATACTCAGGTTTTGAGAAGAGAAAACAGAAATCAAGTTTGCTTTATTTTTTTTAAATGAAAACGATAAAGGAAATTGGAGCCTTTGGGGCCACATTTATAGGAACCAATTTTTGACTACAGGGGATGACTGTAGATGAGTATGGACATAGATAGGTAGCACTGCTCTGCTCCATAGACTCAACAAGAAATTCGGTTCCAATTAGTACGGATAGAGAAAGAAAAGGTCACTCAGTTAAGGAAATTAATCTAAGCACTGCAGTATGCTGGTGTATTTCAAATATGTTTGTAATTTGAAATATTACTGTATATTCTGTATCTTTCAAGAAAAGTTGTTCTTTTGGCAACAAACTTTTAGACTAGAAGTATATTCGTAGGACTTGGAACTTAAGAGGATAAAATAAAATCTGGGAAATACAGAAATTCCAAAATATTCTTTAGGTAAATTAGATTTCTGATTAGCTCAATAGAGGAAGTAATGTTCTGCAGAAGAAAGTCCTTCATCTCACATCCTCAATGAGAAAAAATAACAGAATTGGGAAGGTACTTTAGTTTGGTAACTTATCAAGTACTTGAAGGGTCTTTACACCATCAAGGCCAAATTGTTGTTCAATTAATAATGAAGCATATTAAAGATAATATTAAACTTATCTGATGCTCACAGTGTCTTTGCAAGATCCAGGTCAAATGTTTTTTCAGCTAAAGTTAAAAATGTGAGCATGGCATGAGGTGGATGGAGGTTTGGGTCTTGAACTTGGGAATCTGTGTTTGAAACAAGGTTTAATTATACAATCCCAAACCAGTCATTTCCTATTTTCTGTTTTCCTCACTGTAAAATCTGGGGGTTTGGGAAACTCTGAGAATTAGATGAAATATCACAGCATTGACTGATGCCTGAAGCATATCAAATGATCAATAAATGTGATTAAAAAATTCAGTTATAGAGGTCTAGCATCATGGCAATCCACGCCCACTTTGGACAGCATTGGAAACCATTGGTTCTTATACTGTACCTACTATATGGAAGTAACCCAGAGTGATTAAGTAAATAATTAACAGTAGGAAATTTAACATGTGAAATGTGAAAAGACATAATTTATTAGCATTTTAACTTTGGATCCCGATTGGTATGTGAATGTGTGTGTGTGTGTGTTTGTCACACACTCTCACACACACGTCTGTCTGTATGTCTCTCTCTCTCTCTCTCTCTCTCTCTCTCTCTCTCACACACACACACACACACACACACTTCCTAAGCAAGTTGACACTCAAATGCCATAATTTAATTCTTGACTAACAAGAGAAACAAAAAAGCTTCAATAATATTAGACATTTTGTATAAACTGATCTAAGTACTGAAAAGTCTTTTCTTGGCAAAACACATATAAGGAACTTAACTTCTAATGACTGAGGATTTCCTGGAAGTAGCAATGATTCCTTGTGACTTAACTTCCCCATCTACTTTTACTGGTGGTAATGGTAAAACTAAGACTAGTAGAGTATTTTTTCTTATTAGAACACCTGGATTAGCAACAATAAACAAGTTAAGCTTACAAAATGATTTTGGAGAAAAATCTACTTCTTTTAAAGTCTTAAGATAGACTAATGGGGAATGTTCTCACTGAGACAAGCTATTTCACTCACTTGCTTTGTGACAATTAACCTTGAATACTGTAAATATTTTCATCCTTGTCACCTCATTCCTTCATTAAGTAGGTTCATTTGTTAAAAATTTTCTTTTTATCTATCTGTGTGTATGCAGTGTGTGTGTGTGTGTGTGTGTGTGTGTGTGTGGCGTGTACATGCTCATGTGTATATGTGTGCTGTATGTGGGTGGAGGCCAGAGGTTGACATTATGCTCCCTCTTCTACTGTTTGCTCCTCACCTTATTCTGTGAGACAGATTCTCTTCCTGACTGTGCATTCACTGTCCCAGCTAGACTGACTGGCCAGCAAGCCCCCAGGATCTGCTTTTTAACCCCTAGTACTGAGACTGCAGGTAGGGATCCAAACTCGGGTCCCTATGTTTGTACAGAAAGCACTTACTGACTGAGACATCTCCCCAACCTCATGGAAGTGGCTTTCAATGGTCTTCCTCGTTGTTGAAATAGACGCAAATTAAAATGATCTTAATAGACACACTATAAGTGTTATGTGCAAGGCGTAAGAGGTGGCTCAGCTATGTATCATACTCTTGCAGAGGACCCAACTTCAGCTCCCAGAATCCTTGCCCTTCACAACTACCTGTAAAGCCAGCTCTCTGGCCCTCTACTGGCTGCTGTGGAAAATGCATGCAAAAGCACACAAAAATTTAAAAAATCTGACTCTTAAAAAAATTACATGGTGCTTTCTGCTACAACAGAAACACACCTAAACAAACTTCATTCTGATGAAATAGTTATATACTCTACACATCATGCCTTTGACTGGTTCTTACCCTTCAAATCTTAAGTCAGATCATCAACGCATAGTAGTTTATCATCTAACCAGCTTTTGGTTGTTGTTTATTCTTTGAGACCAGGTTGGTCTTGAATTCAGGAACTGCCTGCTTCATCCTCTAAATGTAGAGTGCTGGCATTACAGGCATTTGTCACCAGACCTTGTTTATGCTAGTTGTTTTTTTAAATGTCAATTTTAAACCGACATCAAAGGAATTGAAATGGAATGCCAAGTACTAAAAAGAAAAAAATGCGTCTGAGATCATAAACATAGTTTATATTCACTGAAAATATTGAATTTTTTTCTTTATATCTCTTTGTATTGTGGTTTTTCATTTGTCAATAGAATCATCATATATGATTCTAAACCTGTTGTGGATAAGTTTTATTTTAATTCTTGCTGACATGATTATAGTTAATAGATCATGGTTAACATAATTCCCAAGAAACACAGATGATGAAGAAATAAAAGGAAAAGTATAAAGTAAGCTTACTGTTTCACCAATTTTCCCAATATCTCCTTGGTCTCCTACTTCTCCCTGTTGAACAGGAATATAAAATTGCAAAATGACAATTTTTCAATAGCAATAATCATCACAGATCATTTGTTTCCATTTTACATAACTATCTTGTAACAAAAAACAAAGATGATTTCAGCTGTTCAAACTTATTTATAGTATTTTTGTAAAATGTGGCCATTTTCCATTTTTATTCAATCAATAATTATCTACATATTGAAGTCACATTCCCCTATTCTTTACTTTAAGTTATTTTAAAGACACATTTAAGGCTGGAGAGATGGCTCAGCAGTTAAGAGTACTGGCTGCTCTTGAACACGACAAGGGTTGGACTCTAGCACCCAAGTGGTTTCTCACAACCACCTGTAAATCCAGTTCCATGGGATCCAATGCCCTCTTCTGTCCTCCTTGGGAACTGCACACGTGTAGGGCACACAGAAGTTCATATAGGCAAACACTTGTACACATTAACATCTTTAAAGGCGCCTACTCAAGAGCCTAAAGACCAAAGACCCTAGCTTAAACCTCAGAGTGGAAGGAAACAACCAAATCCTTAAAGTTGTGCTCCGGCCTTCACCTGTTCATGGTGGCAAGTTTGTACCCACACACATATAGAGATCATAAATGTCAAAATAGTTTACAATAAATAAAAGATACTATGAAATGTGTTAAGATTAGAACTAAAGCCCTTGCCCCAGAAGATGCTGTGTTTCCAACACAGGTAAATCTAGAGGTGCCTTCAGAGGAAGGGTCTGTAAGTTCCAGTCAGCAGAACTGGCCCCTAGAGAAGGGGACATTTGGTTATAACTTCTAAGACACAACCCTGTAGTTCACAAGCTCTGCAAACGCAGAGGTTTCCTTAACTCATTCAGTAATAAACTTGACCTAGACTGAGTTATTGGGCACCAATTTCTAACCTAAGAAAATACTTTTAGAGTTTTTATTTCTCCCAGTTAATTGGAAAACAACTGCATTTTAATGCAAGGGTTTTAGAGTATCTGATTTTGGAGTGTGTTTCCACAGCTGGCTGCAGGCAAGGAGTAGCCCAAGTTACTCTTCCTAAGTCCAAATGATGGATTACGAAACTCACTGGAACTGTTCCTGTAAGCCGAGGGTGTTGAGTAGGAATAAGAAAGGGTCGCTTCTGATGGGGAATGTCCTTCTGTATATATGTTTCTTTTATTGGTTGAACAATAAAACACTGTGGCAAATAGAGGCAGGGAGATAGGCAGGACTGAGAGACTGAGAAGGTAGGATGTGCTGGACCCTTCTCTGGTAAGATAAGACTACGTGAAAATACTTAGATTAATAGAAATGGGTTAATAATTATGACAGAGCTAGCCAATAAGAAGCCCTAGTCATCAGCCAACAGTTTCATAATTAATACAGCGTCTGTGTGTTTATTTGGGGCAAAATGGCTGCTGGAACCTCATGTTACACACTTCAGTGGGGGGATCTTGTGTAAGTGCTAAGGACTGATTAACAGAAAGAAGAAGACTGACTTTGAGATACCGCATACAGTGAATGTGACAGGGATCTGCAGTTCTTTTTATTAAAAATGATAATTTTAAAACTAAAACTAATAGTTAAATTTTAGTGTGGAGTACTAAGATATCAAACAATATGGTAGCCCCTGGTGGCACGTGGCATGGACTGGTATTAACTGACAGATGATTTAAGTGTAAAATACGTATCAGATCTCAAAATCATTATATAAATGGTGGATTACAAAGTATCTCAACAGTGTTTTCAATATTGATTACACATGTAAATAGTGACACTTATGCCCTGTATTAATTATATTATTAAAATTAAGCTTATTTTTTCTCTGTATTCCATACCGTGGCTCATGTTTGTGTTGACTATTACATATCTACAGAGTCTACAGATTTTAAGTGCTGGAACCTAATATTCACTATGAGGAATAGTTTATATAAATTTTCAGTTCAATCAGTATACATTTAGATGAGTGGCAACAGTGAAACATTGTAGGATGTAGTACCTACTTATTGATAAAAAACTCATTTGATGTTTTCATAGAACATTGATAGCAGAATAATCATTGACTAATTAATTTTCTTTAGGTAAATATTATCTCAAAATTTCTGTAATAAAAAACAAAATATTAATAAACAATTAATCTTCTAATCTGCCTCTTTCCTCTCCCCAAAATTGCCTTTTCCTACTACCAAAGGAGATGCCCTCTTGTTGCTTACAGGAAGTTTGATTGACGGCAAAGAGAGGAAGTGGCCCCTTCATCTCATTTTAACATTCAGAGAGTCAGAAGGTAAGGTGCCTTGTCCTGGAGAGAAGATAGAAAGGGGGAAGGGGGAAGAAGAGGGAAAAATAAAGGGAAGGAAGGAAGGGACAGATGGGGTGAGAGAAGAGAACAATGGAAGAGATGGGGAGGGGAGAAGGAAGAACCAAAGATAGGTGATGAAGGATGGATACAGAAAAGTCAGGGAAGGAGAGATAGAGGAAAGTAGGGAGAAGGGAGTAAGGGAAAAGGAGAAGAGAGCAAGGGAAGGGAGTCAGAAACAGAGTGATAGAGATAGACAGAGAAACAGAGACAGAAAGACAGACAGACAAACACAGAGACAGAGACTAGAGTTGAGTGGAAGGTGGTGACACTTCACCAACTCCTAAGTATTTTCTTGGAATAGCTATGTGGTACCCAGGTCACAAGAAGCAGTGACAATTAGGAGGGATGGCCACTGAAGGATTTCTTCAGGTTCCTGGGTAACAAGGACTTGACTTCTGGTAAAATTCTAGAGAGGGCAGCCTTTCACCAACGACAGGGTAAGCTGCTAGCCAGTTTGTCTACATTGTGGCTCAACGCTGAATGTCTTAGTGCTATTTGGTGGGATAGAGACTAATCTCAGAAAAGAGAATTGCTTAAGCTTGCTGGTTTTAAATCAGCTTTCTGGAATTTTTGTATATAATTTGAGAAAGCAAGGCACACATTCTCCTAGTATGTTTTAGTTATCTACATGTTGATACATTAAAAATGCTTTAAGTCTTCATCTTTCATGGACTTAATGTCTAGCTTTTACTTACGATTTAATGTAATAAAAGTTATGTGTTTGATATATATGAAACAAGCCTTAACTTGGGAAATTTGATAATAATACTATGTAACACGAAAAATAAAAACCCAAAGAGAGATATTGGAGTTCAATCTTCAAACTGAAGATCAGAAAAGCAAAGCAGCCAAGTTAGGAGACCTTACCTCTACCCAGCTGAAATGGCGATCCTGTCTCCATGAATCCTCAGAGGCAAAAGCTCTGAGTTCCTGTCTCCTCCTCCTCATATTCTTTTCTCCACCCAGCCATATCCTCCTGTCTCCACCTCCCCAGTGCTGGGATTAAAGGTGTGTGATCCCAAGTGCTGGGATCAAAGGCATGAGCTCTGCTATTCATCACTCTTGTGTAGGCCATGGTGACCATGAACTCAGAGAGATCCATTTGCCTGTCTCCTGAGTCCTGGGATTAAAGATGTGCACCACCACTGCCTAGCTCCTATAGCTAATTAGTGTGGATGGCTTTGCTCTCTGATACTTCAGTAAATCTTTATTAAATCATAAATAATATATCACCTCAATACTCTGTTTTTTCTGAGTTTTAAAATTTAAATTTGAAAATTTAATGATCCCTATAAGCTGTAAGCTGATCTCTTCCATGCATTGAATCTCTGTGCTGTTTTGTATATGTGGTTGTAAAGAATTATCTAAAACATGGAGAAACAACAAATGGTGAGCATATCCTTTCAAAGTCACACAGTGACAAAGGCTCCCCAGTGATTGTGTAAGGAACGGACTCAGGTGGACCCTCTGTTAGGTGTTTCTTAAAGAACCTATGTTTAATAAAGGGATAGTAACATATATTTGTATAACCCTATATCTAACCCACAAACATTATTCTAACATTTTTGTTAAGTTACATGAAGTTTATCAGTTTGTATTGTTTTGCATCTCATTTGCAGAAGTTTATAAAATATGTTGTAACATGTCTTTATTACATTGTATTCCTATGCAAATGTGGATGTAGCTACATGGCTTATAAATAGCTCTTTGAACAGTTTTAATATCTTATTGATACCAAGTAAGTTGACATTTGCTCATTTAATTTGTATTGATTGCTTTTAATTTATAAAGTCATAATTTTGTCCTTTTGTAAATTTATATTTTCAAACTGATAAAAACTTGAGGCACTTTACCTTTAATCCTTCTGGCCCTGGTTCCCCCATATACCCTTTTCGACCTGGTTTTCCCTAAAGGAAAAAAGAAAGAACAATACCTATAAAACATATTGAGTACCATCACTTATAAAGGCGTCCTAAGGTCTGAGACAGTGTTTCCCCACTTGTGGTCTATGAACCCTGTGGGTTACATATCAGATATTTATATTATGGTTCATAACAGTAGCAAAATTATAGTTATGAAGTAGTGATGAAAATAATCTTATGGTTGGAAGTCACCACAACATGAGGGACTATATTAAAGTAATAGAAAGATTTAGAATCACTGGTTTAGGAAATGCAGTCTGTTCTATGAAATGGATGACTTCAAAATGTTCGATGCTGTCTTATATTTAGTAACCGTTTAGACTACAAATACTTAAGTGTCTCCAATGTGTCAATTTGAGGATGGAGAGAACACTACACCTTTCCCCTCACAGAACTTATACTTCAGTGAGGATGACAAAAATTTTTAAATGTGCCCCTCATCCCCTCCTTGGAGCTTTCTGGGTCTGCTGGGTGTGTGGTAAACCTGCCCCACCAGGCCGGACCATTTGGAGTCTGCCCACATTGAAGTCTTGGCCCCAGCTACACACTCTGGGCAAGGTGAGTGTGGGTCCCGCTCAGGTCCAATTCTCCCCATCCCCTCCATAGATCTTTCTGGGTCTGCTCAGCATATAGTAAATCCACCCTGTCAGGCCAGACCATCTGGCATTTGCACACATCACAGTCTTAGTCCCCTACACCCTGTGGGTTGGGAGAACACCAGGACAGGCCTGACCACCCAGAGTTGCGGACGGTGAAGTCTTGGCCCACCTACACCCACCAAGAAATGAAAGAAGAGTGAGAGACCCCACCTGCACCCACTGGAAGAAGGGATCAGAAGACTACAGTATAAGAACACATTCAACAACAGAAAGACCAATATAATACCACCAGAATCAGGAACTCTATACCAGAAAGACCTGAACATTCCAGCGCAGATGAAGCAGAAGAAAAGGACCTTAAAAAAACTTTATGAGGATGATAGAGACCCTCAAAGAGGAAATGAGAAAATCCCTTCAAGAAATGGAAGAAACAACAAACAAAAAAATTACGGGAAATGGAGTAAAAGACAAATTAAAAGCTTCAAGAAATAAACAAATCTCTTTAAAAAAGCAAGGAAAGTCAAGAAAAAAAACCAACCAAACAAACAAAGGAAACAATTCAAACAGTTCAAGCCTTGAAAGCTGAAACAGAAACAATAAAGAAAACACAGAATGACGGAATGATGCAATTTGAAAAGCTGGGTAAACGATAAGGAACTATAGATGTAAGAAAAATCAATATAGTACAAGAGATGGAAGAGAGAATCCCAGGTGTTGAAGATAAACTAGAGGAAATAGAGTCATCAGCCAAAGAAAATCTTAAGTCCAACAAATCCTTAACACAAAATACCCAGGAAATATGGGGCACCAAAATGAAAAGACCAAATCTAAGAGTAATTGGTATAGAAAAAGGCAAGGAAATACAGCTCAAAGGTGCAGAAAACATATTCAACAAAATCATAGAAGACAACTTTCCCAGCCTAAAGAAGGTCATGCCTATAAAAGCACAAGAAGCTTACAGAACATCAAATAAACTGGACCACAAAAAGAAGTCCCCTCACCACATAATAATCAAAATACAGACAAAAGAAAAAATATTAAGAACAGCAAAGGATAAAGGCCAAGTAACATATAAAGGAAGAAATAAAAAAGAAATTAAAGACTTCCTAGACCTCAATGAGAATGAGGACACAACATATCCAAACTTATGGGACACTTTGAAAGCAGTGCTGAGAGTGAAGTTCATAGCACTAAGTGCCCACATGAAGAAACTGGAGAATCGTCACGCTAGAGAATTAACAGCACAGCTAAAAGCTCTAGAACAAAAAGAAGCAAACTCACTCTGGAGATGCCAGGAAATAATAAAATTGAGGGCTACAATCAATAAAGTAGAAACAAAGAAAACAATACAAAGAGTCAATAAAACAAAGAGTTGGTTCTTCAAGAAAATCAACAAGATAAACAAACAATGGACACTGGGGAAATCCAGAGAATCATCAGGTCTTATTTTGAAAACCTGTGCTCCACAAAGTTGGAAAATTTAAGGCAAATGGAGGATTTTATAGATAGATATCACCAAAATTAAATCAAGAAGAGATAAGCAATTTAAATAGACCTACAATCCCTGATGAAATAGAAACGGTCATCAAAAGTCTCAAAACCAAAAAAAGCCCAGAGTCAGAAGGCCTCAGTGCAGAATTCTAACAGAAATTCAAAGAAGAGCTAATTCCAATACTCCTTAAAATGTTCCACACAGTAGAAGCAGAAGGGTCTTTTCCAAACTCTTTTTACAAGGATACAATTACCTTGGCACCCAAGCCACCCAAAGACACAACTAAGAAAGAGAACTAAAGCCCAATGTCCCTCATGAACATTGATGCAAAAATAATAAAATACTGGCAAGTTGAATCCAAGAACACATCAGAAAACTCATCCACCATGATCAAGCAGGCTTCATTCCAGGGATGCAGGGATGGTTCAATATATGGAAATCCAATAATGTAATCCACCATATTAGCAAACTGAAAAGGAAAAAAACACATGATAATCTCACTAGACACTGAAAAAGCCTTTGACAAAATCGAACATCCCTTCATAATAAAGGTCTTCGATAGATCAAGGATAACAGGAACATACCTAAACATAGTGAAAGCTATATACAGCAAACCGACAGCCAACATCAAACTAAATGAAGAGAAACTCAACATGATTCCTCTAAAATCAGGAACAAGACAAAGCTTTCCACTCTCTCCATACCTTTTCAATATTGTACTTGAAGTTCTAGCTAGAGCAATAAGACAACAAAAGGTGGTCAAGGGGGATACAAATTGGAAAGGAAGAAGTCAAACTTTCGCCATTTGCAGATGATACGATAGTCTACATAAGTGACCTGAAAAATTCTATCAGGGAAATCCTACAACTGATAAATACCTTCAGCAAAGTGGCAGGATACAAGATTAATTCAAAAAATCAGTAGCCCTACTATATACAGTTGATAAATCGGCTGAGAAAGATATCAGAGAAACATCACACTTTACAACAGCCACAAACAACATAAAATATCTTGAGGTAACACTAAATAAACAAGGGAAAGACCTGTATAACAAGAAATTTGCGTCTTTAAAGAAAGAAATTATAGAAGATACCAGAAAATGGAGAGATCTCCCATGCTCTTAGATAAGTAGGATCAACATAGTAAAAATGACAATCTTGTCAAAAGCAATCTACAGACAGATTCAATGCAATCTCCATCAAAATACCGGCACGATTATTCACAGACCTTGAAAGAACAATACTCAACTTTACACGAAAAAACAAAATATCCAGGATAGCCAAAACAACCCTGTACAATAAAGGAACTTTTGGAGGCATCACTATCCCTGACTTTGATCTCTATTATAGAGCTATAGCCCTGAAAACAGCTTGGTATTGGCATAAAAATGGACAGGTAGACCAATGGAATTGAGTTGAAAATCCAAATATTAACCCACACATATATGAACACCTGATTTTTGACAAAGAAGATAAAATTATACAATGGACAAAAGAAAGCATCTTCAACAAATGGTGCAGGCATAACTGGATGCTAGCATGTAGAAGACTGCAGATAGATCCATGTCTATCGCCATGCACAAAACTTAAGGCCAAATGGATCAAAGACCTCAACATATATCCAGTCACACTGAACCTCTTAGAAGAGAAAGTGGGAGGTACCCTTGAATGAATTGGTAAAGGAGACCACTTCCTGAACATAACTCCAGTAGCACAGACACTGAGATTAACCATTAATAAATGTGATCTCCTGAAACTTAAAAGCTTCTGTAAGGCAAAGGACATAGTGAACAAGACAAAATGACAGCCCACAGAATGGGAAAAGATATTCATCTGACAGAGGGCTGATTTCCAAAATATACAAAGAACTCAAGAAGCTAGTCACCAAAACACCAAATAGTCCAATTAAAAAGTGGGGTACAGAAGTAAATAGAGAATTCTTAATAGAGGAATCTAAAATGAAAGACATTTAAAGTGTTCAACATCCTTGGCTATCGGGGAAATGCAACTCAAAACAACCTGTTAGAATGGCTAAAATCAACAACACCAATGACAGGAGAGGATGTGTAGAAAGAGGAACACTCCTCCATTGCTGGTGGTAGTGCAATCTTGTGTGGCCACTTTGGAAATCAGTATGGTGGTTCCTCAGGAAAATGGGAATCAGTCCACCTCAAGATCCAGCAATTCCACTCTTGGGCATATACCCAAAGGATGCACATTCATACAATAAGGACTTCTGTTCCACTATATTCATAGCAGCATTATTTGTAGTAGTCAGAACTTGGAAGCAAGCTAGGTGCCCCTCAACCAAAGAATGGATGGAGAAAATGTGGTACATTTACACAATGGAGCATTACTCACCAGAAAAAAAAACCACAATGGAATCTTGAAATTCACAAGCAAATGGATGGAACTGGAAGAAACCATCCTGAGTGAGGTAACACAGTCACAGAAAGACAATTATGATATGGACTCACTCATATATGGATATTAGACATAAAACGAAGGACTATCAGCCTACAGTCCACACCACCAGAGAAACTAGGAAACAAGGAGGACCCTAAGAGAGAAATACATGGTCCCCCATAGAAGGGGAAAGGGACAAGATCCCCTGAGAAAATTGGGAGCACAGGGGAAAGATGGGAGGGAGGTTGGAAAAAGAGAAGGTGAGAAAAGGAGGGGGAAAGAGAACAAGTTGGACCAGGAAAACTGAGTCAGGGGAGGAGTAGAGGAGAGCAACAAAAGAGGTATCTTAATAGAGGGAGCCAGTATAGGTTTAAAGAGAAATCTGGCATTAGGGAAATGTTCAGAGACCCACAAAGATTACCCCAACTAAGAGACCACCTTTGATACCCCTCCCCTATAATGAGATTGATGACTACCTTAATTGTTATCCTAGAGCCTTCATCTAGTAACTGATAGAAGCAGAAGCAGACACCCACAATTAAGCACTGAGTCATACTTCTGGAATCCAGCTGTAGAGAGGGAGGAGGGATGAGCAAAGGAGTCAAAGACTGTGCTGGAGAAACCTGCAGAAACAGTTGACCTGATCTAGTGAGAGCACAGGGACCCTAGTCGTAAAGCTGTGGAACCAATATTAAACTGAACTGACCCTCCTGAATCTGAGAAGCTTCTGTAAGGCAAAGGGCACAGTCAACAAGACAAAATGGCAGCCCACAGAATAGGAAAAGATATTCGCCAATCCCTCATCTGACAGAAGTCTGATCTCCAAAATTTACAAAGAACTCAAGAAGCTAGTCACCAAAACACCAAACAGTCCAATTAAAAAGTGGAATACAGAACTGAATAGAGAATCCTCAATAAAGGAAGCTAAAATTACTAAAACAGACTTAAGAAAGGGCTCAACATCTTTAGCCATCAGGGAAATGCAACTCAAAACAACTCTGAGATACCATCTTACACCTGTCAGAATGACTAAAATAAAAAACACCAATAACAGTTTATGTTGGAGGATGTGAATAAAAGTTTGCACTCCTCTACTGCCGGTGGGAGTGCGAACTCATACAGCCACTTTGGAAATCAATATGGTGGTTCCTTAGGAAAATGGGAATCAGTCTACCACAAGATCCAGCAATTCCACTCTTAGGCATATACCCAAAAGATGCACAATCATACAACAAGGACATTTGTTCAAATATGTTCATAGCAGCATTATTTGTAACAGTCATATACCTGGAAGCAACCTATATGCCCCTCAACTGAAGAATGGATAAAGAAAATGTGGTACATTTACACAATGGAGTGCTACTCAGCAGAAAAAGCAATGGAATCTTGAAACCATCCTGAGTGAGGTAACCCAGTCACAAAAAGACAAACATGGTATGTACTCACTCATATATGGATTTTATACAGGGAGCAGGGGAATTCCAGCCTACACTCCACACCACCAGAGAAGCTAGGAAACAAGGACTCTAAGAGAGACATACATGGTCCCCTGGAGAAGGGGAAAGAAACAAGATCTCCTGAACTAATTGGGAACATGGGTAGAGGGGAGAGGGAGTTAGGAGAAAGAGAAGGGAAGAAGAGGAGGAGAGAGGAAGACATGAGGGAGCAGGAAGATTGAGTCAGGGGAAGAATAGAGGAGAACAAGAAAAGAGATACCATAATAGAGGAGCCATTATAGGTTTAAAGAGAAATCTGGCACCAGGGAAATGTCCAAAGATCTACAAGGATGACTCCAACTAACAATCTAAGCAATAGTGGAGAGACTACCTTAAATATCGTTCCCCAATAATGAGGTTGATGACTACCTTATATGCCATCCTAGAGCCTTCATCCAGTAGCTGATGGAAGCAGAAGACACCCACAGCTAAACACTGAACTGAACTCCTGGAATCCAGTTGCAGAGAGGGAGGAGTGATGAGCAATGGGATCAAGACCAGGCTGGTGAAACCCAGAGAAACAACTGACCTGAATAAGGGGGAGCACATGGGCCCCAGTCTGATAGCTGGAAAACCAGCATAGGGCTGACCCAGACCCTCTGATCATGGGTGCCAGTGAGGAGGCCTGGAAAAATCTATGGGGCCTCTGGTAGTGGATCAGTATTTATCCCTAGCATATGAATGAAATTTGGGAGCCCATTCCACCTAGAGGGATACTCCCCCAGCCTAGATATACAGGGGAGGGCCTAGGCCCTGCTCCAAATGATACAACAGATTTTGAAGATCCCCCATGGAAGGCCTCACCCTCCCTGGGGAGCAGAAAGGGGATGGGATCGCGAGTTAGTGGGGGGACGGGAAGAGAGGAGGGAGAAGGAACTGGGATTGACATGCAAAACAAGCTTGTTTCTAATTTAAGTAAAATAATAGATAAAAAGACAATCCCATGCAGAAAATTAGTTCAATTAATTAATTTTTGGGAGCATATATATTATAGTTTTCTTCAGCAAACATGAAATAAAAAGTAGTTTCTCTTCACCCAAAATTATGTAATTTAATTTTATAATTAAAAAATTAATCCTTAAAATATTGAAATAATAATATACTTCCAACATTTCTCCCTTCCTTTTCCTCCTTCCAAACCCTGGCACTGAGACAAGGTATCACTGTGTACCCGAGGTAGCCTGGGACTTGTTATTGAGCCCAGGCAGACTCGTACTCAGGATCTTCTTGCCTCCTCCCTAAGGACTGAAGTTAATAGTGTGCATCACCTCATCAGGCTTCAGGAAATCACTCTTGTGATACTTGCCCTGGGTCCTACTTCTCCAAAGGGTCCAATTGGTCCTTCTTCTCCCTTAAAAATTAATCAGAACAATTCATGACCCAAAATAGTGCTTAAACACAGAAATCTTTATCCTTTGTATTTATCCTGAAATCTGAACCTTGTCAGTGAATGCCAGAAAAATCCTGGTACAACTCTCTTATTTCAGAATCCAATCCTCCCATGTTTTAATATTTTGATTATTAGCACTCTTCAAAAGGGGCATGCACTATTGGGTTACTTCTTAAACTGGTGGGTCATACATTACACACTGGAAATTAGGAGTGGAGAAGGTTAAAGGAAAAGAATCACCGAGATCATTAAAGATAACCTCTAATTTGTCTACACTGAAATGCAACTCTGTCCTTGGCAGATGAAGATCAACATATATATTTATGGTATATTTAACCATCACTTATGTAGAGCATGCTCTAGGCCAATCTGATTCTTCATTCATTCATTCATCTCCCCCCCTTCCTCCTCCTGCTCCTTCTTCTTTTAAGATCAGATCTCTTCCATAGCTCAGGCTGGCTTCAAAGCTGTGTTCTTTCTGCCTCAGCTTTGTAAGTGATGGGATCATACATGGTGCTGCCATACCTGGCTCAATGCACAAGTTTTAAAACTTTAGTTTTGTCTGAGACTCTACACACGCAAAAGCACATCAGATCCTACCCCAATGGTGTTTACTGCCAAACACTGTATTCTTAACTAATTTACAGCCGCAACACCTTAGAGTCAAATAGCTATAACACCACAAAATGTAAGTATCTGGTGCATTCTTGTAAGAATCAAAATTGAATGATGGAAAGAGATGGGAGACAAATATAATCAAAGATAAGCAACTTCTAGTCTTTATTTTCTAACTAGTAGAAAAAGTAAGTATGCACCATTTCCACATACATTGACAAAATATATTGCTTTTTCACCTTTAGATGAATAGAATTGGTATTATTAATGTTACTACTCATGATGGCATATACAGACCTCCTTAGTATCACACACCTTATATATTTCATAAACAGACATTTTGCTCAATTCACGAGTCAATTAAACATAATTTATTAAGTCACAAATATAAAATAGTCACAAGTAGTAAATATGAATTCTAGTATATATACATTTCATTCTGGGTTCAGATTCTTCAACTTTCCATTGGAGACCATTGAAAACAAAACACTTAATGAGTTCAGAACTCTGCAAAATGATTCCAGCTTCCATCCTGTAAGTGCCAATATAAATAACTTGAAATCCTTTACAGCAAAAATTGTTCACACTAAGGAAAGTTTTTTCATTAAGCATAAATTGAAGTGTCACAAAATAAAAAGGGGGAATTCTAACTAAAAACTTGCTGACTAGACATTAGTTTCCTCCATACCTGAGTTCCTTTGAGTCCTGGAGGTCCAGGGGGCCCTCTGCTTCCAAGGTGTCCCTATTAAATCAATGTAAATGCAGAAAATTAAAATTATACATCTGTTAACATTTTTATCAGCAAATTTACTACAAATGTGGGGATACTATTGGGTACCATTCATTTCTTATTAAGAGTTATCAAAGGATGCTGAGCAAGAAACCTATAAAATATCTAGATAATTGAGAAATGCAATAAATTTTCTTTTAAACAGTATGTTAAGGCTCAAATAATCTGTTCAGTTTTTTATTTTTCAATGTTCAGACACATTTTCAGACAAAGCTTTTTGAATTTAAAGCAATTGGCCTAACTGTTACTCTGACAATAAATGTACACATTACAGAAGTGTCCCAGAAGTCTGTTGAGAGACTAGTGGCATTTGTTATTCCTATAACAAGTTATTTAACTCCTTTATATATGCTGCCAAAATGAGAAGGGCAAGTTTGCAGAAGAAATGAACTTTATTACCAGAACTTTTAAGACTATTAAACTTTTTATTTTTTGGTTGGCAGTAAAACACGTTAAAATGCAATTGTTCTCTGAATGAAAACTTGGTTCAAAATAACTATGCAAATGGTCTTCCAGTTCCGCCCAACACCACACAACATCAATTCCATTCACTATAACATTCATTTTTAGCAGTTTTATTGGAAATATACAATGTGTTAGAAAATTCCTATGCAAAACTTTTCTAATAATTTTATCTTGCGTAATTTCTTACAATGTTTCTTTAACAACCCAAAGGATCTTTTAGAAATCTAATTTTAATTGTAGTAAATAACTACATGGAATTGAAAAGTAAATGTGTCCTGATGACCTGCATTTTTAGTTTTGGAATTCATCAGTGACAAACCATACAAGCTCTTTCTGTAGACCTTGCTCTTTTCTGGCCATGCGTTAATGTAAATAAGAAATGGAAAATATTGGTTATCTTCAGTGTGCATTCTTACAAGTTTGTGACATGAATGTTATCCATCAAGAAGCTATAACGTTTGGGCTAGTTACGAAATTTTTTAATGGACTTTCCTTGTTTCTCAAATGAAAAGATGAGTTAGGGAATGGAAATGAGGGTATGCTATTTTATGTTGGTCCAAAATATTCATATATTTATGACAAAAATCACATTAATTTTCCCCCAAAGAAACATTTGTTTCCATGCTTGATCTTGTGATTTGAGGTTAGATGTTTCTAACCTGGAATAGAATAGCTAATGTTCAACTGAATTTAGCTGCCTTAGTCAAAATCCCTACAGTGATTGGTTTAGCAGTGAGCAAAGGACAGCTCCCACTCCCAATTTCAGACCCTAGGGACACTTTGGAGTAAAGAGAAGAGCTGGTAAAGATGCCCAGATAAAGTGAAAGACATCAGGTGTTGATGGGTTGGAAGACTTAATATTGTTAAAACACCCAGGAGACAGAAGGAGACCTGTACATTCAATGTTTCACTATGAAACTACATGGTTGTCTTTTGTAGAAACAGGAAAAAAACTTAAAGCACGCACAGAACACCAATGGACCCCCCCAAAGTACAATGTCTTGGAAAGAAAAATGAAACTGGCATGTTCATGCTTCCTGACCTTAAAACATATCACACAATGATGCTGACCTCACCAAGCTGATCCAACCATGTAAGAACACGCAAGTTTAGGACACTAGACTATAAACCAGAAATAGACCCACCCAGTCTTCTTGGTACAGACTCTACACAAAGAAAACAGAGCAGTCTCTCCAACAGTGTTGGGGAAACTGGCTATTTCAGGGGGAAACTGAAATACGACAATCAGCTAAAATGTGAGATGTCAAGCCATAGCTCCTATACAAGACAATGAGAGAAAAGGTCAAAACACTGACAATGACACCTTGGGTGTGACAAAAAAGCACAGGCAGCAAAGGCACCAATAAGGAAGCGAGGCGATCTCATACTGAAAGCTAGTGTACCAAGAAGACAACGTCCAAGGTGCTGAAAAGGCAGCCTCTGCAAGCAACATGTCTGATATTGAATTAAAGTCCGGAATGCATAAAGGACTCCTACAGCTCAAATGCAAAGACCCAAGCAGCCCACTAAAAGGTGGGCAAATGACTTTTGGATATATGCTCAAAAGGATTGTAAACAGTCTCTCAGAGAACTGCATGTCTAGTTTTGATGACACTTTAGTTACAATAGCCAAGAGCCTGGTTACTCTATTGTCTACTGACAAGTAAAGAAAACGTGTTACATACAAATAACGCAAGTTTTAGCTTTAAAAAGAAGGGACTCTTGTCACATGCTTCAAGATGGAAGAACCTTGAACACATTATGCTAATGGGATAAGCCAGTCACAGAACAGCAAATACTGCCGGATTCACAAAACCATAGAAAGCTGTTGTAAATTGGCCTCACCTGGGACTGCCATAATGAAGAGCTGCTTTAAAATGGGTACTTTCATCAAGCAAGATGAGAAAGTTCTAGAGATCTGCCTTTCAATAGCAAACATACATTTTAAGTATTATAATACTTTACCACACATGGATAAAGCTGTTAAGAAGATAGAGTCTATACTGTATGTTTTGTACACACCCAAATGCGCACATGTGTACACACACACACACACACACACACACAATTTTCTACAGGCTTTTGGGGATTTATATGCCTGATTTTTTTAATATTTAGTATCTGTCACAATCTGCTTCCTAACTTCTTTTAGTAGGACAGATTTCTTTCTGTCATCCATGCTGTGTTCTTACTATTGTATAGAAGTTTTCTTTCTGTCATCTGTGCTGTGTTCTTACTATTGTATAGAAGTTTTCTTTCTGTCATCCATGCTGTATTCTTACTATTGTATAGAAGTTTTCTTTCTGTCATCCATGCTGTATTCTTACTATTGTATAGAAGTTTTCTTTCTGTCATCTGTGCTGTGTTCTTACTATTGTATAGAAGTTTTCTGTCTCCCCTTGGCTAAACCCAACCCATTCAACTCAAATCCCAATTTATCTGTGGATCTCTATGAATCATGGCCACACTGACTATTCCTTCCTCCAAAACTCCTAGTTACTCACTTATATGCTGACTAATAATAATGCTTTTAACTTTTCCCATGTAGAAGGCATGTCTCTAGAAGATTACTAATTCCTAGTACAGAGAAAACCAAGTCTTAATCTTATTTTCTAGTTACTGCTTAATATATTACAAACAGTAACACAGAAAAAATTGCCCAATATACAAGCTCAGTAAATGTTTCTCAGCTGACTAAACACTGCCCTGAGAACAGAATGGTTAATATAATTAATATGTATATAAAATCTTGATTTAGTGGCTGGAATGTAGATGTCCGGGGCTGAGTTGAGGTGATCTATGAGAATGGTCTAAAGTTATGCATTTTTCTTACCAAGCCGACTTCCTCCACACAGATAAACATACCACATTACTGGAGTGGGCCAAGGCAAGAGCTATTTCCATGTATTACACTCACAAATAGTAGGCTTCCTCTGCAAGATCACCAGGACTGTAATACAAGACACAGTAACAGCTGGTTTCCACATTCCTAATTCTGTAGCCAAAGCAGCAACACAAGCCATTGGAGCAACAGATACAGTATCCCTCTGTTTACTGCAGAGTGGAGGATATTTATCGGATACTCTTACTTTCTGCAAAGACCAGCAGAGGATGCGGATTAGCTGATGTTATGGTGTTCTTGAAAGCAGATTGCCAAATTGAGTGTCTTTGGAAGGCTTACTGAAGAATGTTTGGATATGTATACAAATACACACACACACACACACACACATACACACACCTCCACAATCAGTAGAACCACAATTGACACACGTTTGCAATCCCAGTTTGAGGTTTTTTTGTCAACTGGCAGAAAACTAACAGGAAATAAAGGCTTCTTTCTCTGGAAAGAGTCCTCCCTTTTGTTGAACATAGGACAACCATTTCTTTCAAATACAGTGTGCATGGTTTTCTTTTCTTTTAAGCATATTTATGTTTATTTCATGTTCATAGTTGCTTGTGCACATTGTGTATGTAGATCATGTGTGTACCTGGTGCCCATCTAGGACACGGATGGTATCAGACCCCTAGAACCAGAGTCATACATGGTTGTGAACCACCACATGGGGGATGCTGGGCATAAAACCTGGTTCCTCTGTAAGAGCAGCAATGCTCTTAGTCTGTGAGCCATCCCACCACCACTTAGCATGGTTATCTTGATGACCATGTCAAAACAGCTTTGGTAATTTACATTACTTCCACTTCCTAAACAAGACATGTAATACAAATAAGGAAGATAAAGGGTGCTTCTATGATGTGATATACTTTGCTCAAGAAACACTTCATACTTATGGTATGAGTATATTTGACTTTATTTTTCCTGTTTCTAGAAAACTTTCAAGGCAAAGGAGAAAGACCAAGAACATAGACAAAAATATGACCTCTCATTCTTAAAACACCAAGTCATGGTCTTCTTACTATTGCACTTTCTGGTTCGGGTACTAAGGATCGAACCTGAGTTCTCTGCAAGAACAGCAAGTGCTCTTACCTGCTGAGCCAGCTCCCCAGCTCCCATTTCTAACATTTCAATTTTAAGACTAAAAGAACTTCCCAGAACAGACTTCGTCTTTTTTTTTTTTTGAGAGGGGGTTCAATACAGGGTTTCTCTGTGACTTTGGAGGTTGTCTTGGAACTAGCTCTTGTAGACCAGGCTGGACCTTCATCAAGCACGATAGTCATCCTCACATGCTAAGATCATGCAACATGGATCTTCATCAAGCACGATAGTCATCCTCACATGCTAAGGTCATGCAACATGGATCCTCATCAAGCACAATAGTCATCCTCACATGCTAAGGTCAGTGATCATTTCCTGATTTCCAAAGACAGAATCTGTTGCTAAGCTTGGGTTCTCGCTGCACACTATCAACTCTTCTAAATACCTTATTTACTTAGTCTTTTATATGTATATATGGTGTGTGTACCTTCTTGAGTTTATCTGCATCATGCATGCGCAGGAACCCACAGAGGCCAGAAGAGGGCATAAGATCCCCTGGAACTGAAGGTACAGGCCATTGAGAGCCTTCATGTGGGTGCTGGGAACTGAATCTGTGTCACAAGAGCAGTAATGTTTCTTAACAATTGACCTTTATCTCCAGCCTCTACCATTACTTTATGTTGTACTTCTTACAACTTGTAATAACTTCTTTTTATCTTCCTTTGCAAATTAGAACTCCATCCATCAGAGGCACTGTAGTTGTATAGTGGTTAGTATTTCACATTTAGTACCTGACATAACACAAAAAGGCACTCAGTATGGATTGACTGAATGAATAAACAAAGATGCCTGTGTGCAAGTTCCTAAGCAGGGAAAGGCTGGAGTTGACAGGCTACGTCTTAAAACCATTCTCTACAGAATCTGTCTTCTTTTTTTTCACATTTTATCTTGGTTTACTGATGGATGTTATTTCTATATGTCAAAATAAGTATCTTGTACTCATTGAGATCTGCAAACTCTCTCAAGTTCCCTATTTAACTTCCCAGTTCAAGTTCAATGACAAAAAAACCTAAATCAAAGGCTTGGCTTCACCTTTTAATTCCCTTTGCTCCCATCACCACGTTCCTTTAGTTATGAAGTCTTTTTTAATATCTTTAAAGTAGCTTTCACCCATAGCTAATCAACAAATCATTCAGTCAGTGAACATGGAGTTCCTGAAATTTCTAGCATTTTGTTCTAGTCACTGAAATATATTTAAAACCCATTTATCTCTTCTCTCAAAGACCCTGCAGCCTAGCAGAGAGGCAGACAAGCATGCAGTCAGGCAATATAATGCATGGCGATAATTGCTCAGCAGAAGTTTTTCAGGAACATGGGGAAACCAGCTAAGTTGGATGCTGAGGAAACGTGAACAGTGTTGTATGTGATGCCCAGATATTGGCTGGACGATGAGGGGTGCAGGAAGGAAGGTTACATCCTCATCAAAGAGCAGCAGCAAAACAGCCATGAGATTCGAACAAGTACAGCAGGGTTTGTCCAGCAGGAGTGACGCTTCTAAAAAGAGACAATGAGTGAGTGTGAGTGTATGCTGCAGAGTTAAGGCTGGATTGTAGAGAACCACATCTTAAAAGTGAAGACTTGCACGTCTTCACCGACATGCACTGCAGCTACCTTAAGGTTTCAAGCAGAGGCAGGCTGTGATGTATACTTTCCACAGAATTTTCCTTTGGCGTCGTCCTGTGGGTTTGGAGGAAGGCCAGACTGGAGGCAGGGAGAGTAACTGGAGGTCTACCACACTAATCGTGGATAAAAATGAAGGGGGCCTGAGCTACACCACTGGCAGTGCAAACGGTTTCCAAAGTAAAGCGGGGAAACTTTGAGTCAAGGAGAAATGGTAAGAGGTTATAATGGATGGCACAGCACACTGCTCGGAACCCCAGAGAGGATTTGACGCAGAGCATGCGTGGGACGCGTACGTGCAGACGCACACTTCACGGCCAAGGAAGGAAGTGAAAAATGGCGGCATGGAGGGATGTGGTGGGTGGCGGGTGGGGTTACCAGGTAAACACAGGATGCACAGCTGCATTTGAGTTTCAGATGAACAGCAAGTGACATTCAGTTTAAATACTTTCCAACACTGCCGCTCCATTCCCTCACAAGCTTCCTTTTCCTGAATGTCACACAGCCCGCTTGTCTGCCTCACAAACTCCTCCCTCATCATGTCAGTTCAAGTGTCACCTTTCGTTCAACTGTGCACCCTTTCACTGAGGTTGTTAAAGGAGTTTCCATGCTTGTATAGACTGTACATTTCTGTGTGTGTATGTATACACGTGTGTGTGCTTGTGTGTGTGGTACATATGTGGTGCGTGTATATGTGTGTGAGGCTCTGTGTGTGTGTGTGGTGTGTGGCAGTGTGTGTGTGGTGTACGTGTGTATGGTGTGTGTGGTGTATATGCATGTGTGATATATGTCTGTGTCAGTGTGTGTATGTGTGTGTATGTGGTATGTGTGTTTCTGCGGTGTGTGTGTGTTTGTGTGTGTGTGGTGTATGTATGTGTGTTTGTGTGTGTGTGGTGTGTGCATCTGTGTGTGTATTTGTGGTGTGTCTGCATGTGTATTTGTGCATGTGTGTATTTGTGGTGTGTGTGCATGAGTGTGCGTTTGTGTATATGTGTGTGTGCATGCGTGTTTGTGCATGTGTATGTATTTGAGGTGTGTCATATGTGTCATGTGTGTGAGTAGTGTGTGTGCATGTGTGTTTGTGCATGTGTATGTATTTGAGGTGTGTGTGCATATGAGTTGTATGTGTGTGCATGTATATTTGTGTGTGTATTGTAGTGTGTGTATATGCATGTGTGTCTGTGTGTATGTGTGTGTATTTGTGGTGTGTGCATGTGTGCGTGTGTCAGTCTGCGCACATGTGGAAGCCAGAGAATGTTTTGGGCGTCTTCCTCAGTCATGCCCCACCTTAGTTTTCTTTGAGATAGGGTCTCTATCTGGACCTGGAGATTGACAATTGGCTGGAATGTCTACAAAACAAGTGTCTCTATCACACTGAGATTGTTCTTGGTTGTTGAGGAACTGACTTTTTTTGCTAGTACATCAGGTGCTTTATCTAGGAGAGCATCTCTTCAGCCCCCAGCTTGTAAAGTTCTTGAGAATAAAGATTAGGACTTTTTATTTAGGGACTAGCTCAGTAGCTCCCACTTGGGAGTCACCCAATAAAAATTTGTTAAATGAAAAAATGTTCTATTTCAGATTTTATTGTTTCTCCAGGCTCATCTCCATGAGTGCATCCTGTTTTCTGGCCCCTCCTGGGGAGTCTGCTCAGCATCATGCACTCACCCCAATCCTCAGTTACTGCCTGAGGCCCACACCCAGCACTCAGGTGAAGTCTGAGGGCCATGTCCCATCCTCCTCTACCTCTATGCTTGGGCAAGAGAACACATCCAGTGCCTGCCTGGTGTGTGTGTGTGTGTGTGTGTGTGTGTGTGTGTGTATACGTGTGTGTGTGCACTCATGAGTGCAGGTACCCTGAGAGACTAGAGGCATTGGACATCCCTGGAGCTAGAGGTACAGGTTTTGGGGATCAAATTTGGATCCTCTGTAAGAGCAGTACATGGTCTTAACTAACTGCTGAGCCCTCTCTCCAGCCGATCGCTTAGATTTCTGTAGTTCCTCTGTTTGCCTTCAATTTCTTCCTAGTTTAAAGTATCCTTTATATTGACTTAAGGGATATCTTCTAAAGACACACACCAGATGGTATATTTGCTACTTAAACATTTTTTGAGTACTTCCTGATGCCTGTAAGACAAAGTAGAAACTGCCGTCTGATCATGAGTGTTCCAGACTGTGATCCCTAAGCCAAGAGGTAAAGAGCCCAGACTTGGCATTTGCCTCTTGGTGAAAACCCTGGCTACTTTATAGTTTATAGTTATGTGGCTGAGTAAATATCTTCTTTTTACATTTTCAAATGTTTATTTCATTCACATATGTGTTCCTGTGTATGCCGTGGTAAGCATGTGGAAGGTGGAAGAAAACCTTTGTGGATATAGTCTTTCTTTCCACTATGGAGGTTTAGGGGCTCAAACTCTGGCTGTCAGATTTTGTGGCAAATACTGTTCCCATTGAGCCATCTCTCTGTCCCTTGAATGACTCTCTTAATATTGGTGACATTTGTAAAATGGTGGCACTGTCTACCTGATAACACTGTAAAGCTAAAGTGATTTAATTTCAATGAAACATTTGCCATCCCACAGTGTCACCTGACAGCGTAGTACACAGGCAGAGGCACTGTTACTAACATCTGTGCAGCCGTCACTACCCATGCTTCTCTGTCCATGTACACTAACACTTTCCACTTGAACCTGACCTCTTCAACTCCTCCACCCCCAGTTCCAGACTTCACCACTCCACGGTCCTATTTCCAATGCATGTCTGTTTCTGATGCCCAGCCTGCATGGTACCTGGGGCATGCCTGGATAGTGAGACATTTGATGCTGAATTCCTAGCACACACAGAGCAGCATCCTTATGCACACAGATCAGCATCCTTGTGCACACAGATAAGCATCCTGTGCACACACAAACAGAACAGCAGCAATTAGAGTGAGGACCCTCTGGTTTCTTCAGGTGCCGTGTGTTACGTCAAGGCTCTGGGACACTACAAGCTTTCTTACACAGTAAGAGTGGGCATTTTATCAGTGCTGAAGTGTTCCAGTCGTCAGAGATCTGTCTTCCACTTACTTTCCATTATGAATTTAAGAACTGTTCTTATTATTTTTATTGCCTCTAAAACTTCCTTTGGACTTATATCTATGCTCTTCAATATTATCCCTCTAGTAACTATAAGAAACCTGGAAAATCATTTAAAACTGACTGGATTCTGAACTCATGATGCTTAATTACTGATAACTTCGATATTCCTAAGATCTCTTCCTACACGTATTTAGGATTTTAATGAGAAAACTCATTGTATGAATGTGCACCCTTTGAGTATATGCCTAAGAGTGGAATTGCTGGATTTTGAGGTAAACTGATTCCCATTTTCCTGAGGAACCGCCAAACAGATTTCCAAAGTGGCTGTATGTGTTTGCACTCCCACCAGCAGTGGAGGAGAGTTATCCAGTATGTTTTTATTTACTTTTTACCTTTGGTCCTTCGGGTCCATTTTGTCCAGGAATCCCAATATCGCCTGGAAAACCCTGGTAGACATAAAAAGGTAGAGAGTTTATTCCACAGCAAATTACTTTAAGTCTATTAAGCATATAAAGCCCTCCTTTGTCTGTATCCAATGCCTAGTTAAAACAATTTATATTCTTCAAAACTCAATGATTATTACACTAGGATAAAAACAACTCAGCATCCTAAAAAAGGAAAATTTGCTTTATTAATGAGTCACAATCTCCAGGCTTAAAGGAATCTCTGAGGTCCTGGTAAAGAGAAGGAACCAGAATGACACATCCTTCCAATGTCATACCAGACACTGAGAGGAGTAAGGAATGAGCTTTGTAAGACTCACAGTTCACTGATTATTACAAACATGAAGTTTTGTTAAGTACAGACACAATCCACTTCTTTCTAGGTAAAAAATCATTACATATAGTTGTCAATCCTCTTTGAGTCAAAACTGTCTATCATAGACTCCCAGACATGATTGTAGGGATAGATCTTACTAGGCACCTGTGGCATGACCATGCTCATTTGGGCATGGTCACAGGTGCATATGGGCTGTATAGGATATAGGCCTGAGGACAGGGAAAGGATGGCTGTCTTGGGGATCTGATTGGGTCTCGGAGAGCAGCCGAGATTGGATGCTCAGAGAGCTGACCCTGGGTTATCAGTTTCTCATGTAAGTGATCTCTCCCCAATAAAAATACCTATGACATCCCTATCCAGTGTATAGTAACCTTCATCCTATACATGATTGCCTATTCTTAGGTCCTCTAAGTATATTTTTACATTACCTCTTTACTATCTTACTGGTGGTCTCACTGATTAACTAGTTTAACAAAATGTTATCTGCATATGTATTTGCATCAGAACCATAATTTCACTTTTGGATCATATTACCAGTCTAAAGTACTTGGCTCCCCAAATGAAATGCATCATACTGTTAAACTAGAGCCCATGCTAGGGAAAAACCTAAGATGCTGATCTAAATTGATGAGGTTACGATTCCTGCTGATATAATGAATCAGAACACACTACCTCACACTCAGTTTCAAACAACATCATCATCACTAGGCGTTCCTTTATTGATGTAGTCACCAACGAAGAAAGTCCATTTCTCATTGGGCAAGATTCACAGACAAGGTAAGAAAGGAACGCAGACAAGGTAAGAAAGACTCACGACTCGGCAATTTTTAAAGAAAAGGAGGATTTATATGGAGTACAACGTCATCAAGTAAAGAAAAGACAGTTCTGTGGAGTGATAAATATGCTGGGACTAAAAACAATAACAGGCAAAAGGAAGCTTCCAGATGACTCTGGGAAGAAAAGCAAAGCAGTGATGCAGATTGATCTGGTCTGGTTAGGGTATGTGTACTCTGCGAATTTACAAAAAGAAGTTTATATCTAAAGGACTGACTGCAAGTTCTGATTTCCCAGGGTCCTGGGACAGTTAACACAGATCTATGGACTTTTTTTTATGGATCAAAAGGAACCAGGTGAATCTATGCTAGCATTTGTATTCGTGCATGTGTAAAGTTGTATTTATCTAATGATTCCAAGCCTTCTCTCTTGAATGGCTTATATTTACTGGCCTTGAAGCTACATACCTGTTTGCTAGTTCTTGCTGAAATACTTGCTAGTTGAACTCTATATCTTACCCATTACACCCCTCCCCTCCCCCCGCACTAACTACTTGAATGAATATTACCCAGAGTTCTAAGCCGAAGGGTTTTATACTTCACCCTTTAAAAACTCCTTTGCCTTCTCCTAAAACTTTCACACCACAAAGTAAGCTCTCAGGGTTTCGCCTTGTTTTATTTTTCATGCCAGACTGTAAGCTCCTTCGGTGCACTTCCGCTGTTTCCAGTGTCACACTCCCTGCAAGCGCTGTGACATCTGGTATGTGGCGGTTGCTTTTACAAGCGCTGTTGTTGTTGTTATTGTTGAGTGACTGACTTATTTCCTTTGAAAAGCAGGACAGTATGTACTGTGACTACTTGCATCCTGGGTCTCCATTTACAACCACTGCCTCAGAGCACCCTCATGGATGCATTCATGACTTGTCCACTTTCCAGATGACCCCAGAATACCTTATCACCAGCAATGGAGAAAGATATCACAAGCATTGAAACTGGAATCATTTTAAAAATAACTCTTGAGGTGCTTGCATAGGATTCTGCAAGCCAAATATTTGGGGAAAACTTTTTTCAATGGTAGAGAAAAATTGGACTAAATTTAATCACAATAAATATATTTAAATTCCTAAGTTGAAATACACCAACTTCAAAAATTGTCTATGTAGAGAGGAAAAAAGGAAGCTAACTCATTACCTGGAAAACTGATAGCAAGAATCAACAATTGGGCATTCATTTGCCTCTGCTTATATTCTGTAGAACTTTCATCCACATGGTAGGAAAGGGTATTCAATCCTCTTCCAAAGTAGATAAAGCCATTCCAGCCCTCCCCACAAAGAAATGACAAAGCAAGGAAATCTGTTTTTCTTCCCCACAAATTATCTCATGGACTTAGCATTGAGTTCAAACCTACAGTAACACCTCCCATACACACACACACACACACACACACACACACACACACACACACACGACAAGTGCTTACTGACGAAAGAACACAGGATGACCTGTCGCCTCACCAAAACAAGGAAAACAAACCTCAATATGGTCAGGACTCTGCAATGGGATAGCAATTTTCAAGAAAAACACAAATCAAGGAACATGCAAAACTACACGGTGAGACTATAATCCACACAGACTGTGGAAGATGCTGAAAATGAAATCAAACAGCTGGACACTTCCATAGCTAAATTATAAGGGGGAGAAGAACGGAGAGTGAACTTAGAGATTGTAAGACAGCAAATTTAAAAGCAAAAGCAAGACAGAAGGAGCCCTTGTGTGGCAACAAGAAATTCCACTTTAACTTTACAGTACTTAGAAGGACATGTGTCAGAAATTTGCATGTGATAGACATTTGTTTTATAGTCTCTTGTGATTTATTTTACAATAAAACTAAAAAAATTAGTGAGGTCATTCTAGTTAAACAGGGGATGTCTGATATAAGTGAACATCTGCATCCTTTACGAGCCCAAATATCAACAGAATACACTAAAAAGACATAAAGTGTGACAGACAAAGGGACAAAAGATGTCACCAACTCAATCCTCATATTAGAGTTAAGTAAGTTCAGTGTTTCAAAATTAAGAGTCTACTGAAAATCTCAGAAGCATATTAGCATAAATATTAAAAGGAAAAAATGTCTATGTCTTTCCCACATGGGCAAGCTTAGAAACTTGGCCAATGAACATTTTCATTATTTTAAATATTCACAGCTGGACTATGCTCAAGTATAGATCTTGCCATTTAAATAATACATTTTAAAACAGAAAAACAAAACAAAACCAATCAGTTAACTGGATCAGCTGAGTTTTAATGATAACATCCAGAAAGGAATTTTTTTAAGGTTGAAATTTATTGCTTGATCTGTAAAGCCAGCAATGGACATGGATATGTATGCCAAGCTGTGAAATGTCAGAGACTTTACACACCAAAAATTGAAGTTTATTCTTAGGGTCAAAACTTATTTTCAAAAATCCTATTGGCAGACAAATCTACAATAAGAAAAGTGAAGAACAAAAATCTGGTAAGGATGTCCCAACTCATTGATTTAAATTTAAAATAACATTCACAAGCCAGAAGATTTTCCTCCCATGAACAACTTCACTATTTCAGTTAAATTCATCAAATCACACTTGAAAGAAGGATACCTTAGGGAGGAGGAGGTGGAGGCAGGGAGCAGCAGCGGGAGGGGGAACAAGATCCTGATTTCTGGGGCTTTCTTAACAGAAGGTCTGGTCACAAATTGCTACTGAGAAGCAGAGAGATGAAGTAGCTTTAAAAACACTGAGTGCAGACGCGGCTTCTATTTTCACAGCCTTTGCATCTTTTGGCCGTACAGAGAGTGAGTCCATGTTCTCTCCAGTAAAAACAAAGTTTTATTATTCTCTAATCACTCAGGGCTGGAGACTAATTCACATGCATTTTTTATAGCAAAACCTGGGAACCAAGACACTAGCAGATTGTATTCGTTTCCTAGGAAATCATAAAAGTGAAATACTGCCTTCCTACTTAAGGGTAGCCAAAAACTCAAAACCCCAGTTTCCTGAACAAGGTAAATATATGACATTTTATGGCATACATTGACATTGTGAGCAACTTTCCAATGGGACTAATATACTTCTGCTTTTTATTAAGATCTATATTTCTTCCAATAAAAGTTACAAATGGAATAAACAACAAACAAAAGTAAATATAATGGCTGAGTTAATGAAGATCTATCACAAGAGGGAACAAAGTGTATGAACCGCAAGTGTCTTATACTAAGTAAAAAAAGCCAGACATAAAACATAAACTGTGAGTCATTTATAAGAATACTTTGGAAAATTTGGGTTAATATAGAGTGATGAAAAGTATATTCTATGGTGGAAAGGGCCAGGGAGAATAGAAGAAAAATAAGAAATTATAAAGAGACAGTTACTGACTTTGGTAGATCTATCTGCTGTTTTGACTTAACAATGATATCATAAACTATCCAGAAGTGAAAGATTATTCAGTTGGATAGATTAAATATTTGGATTTTATTCCTTATCAATTATATACCTCAGTAAGTTCCTGTTGTTGTGTAAGGACTTGGTATTTGGCGCTGTGATTGATAATACTTATCATTCACTTCACAGAATCTGGGGGAGACATGACTCTGAGCACGCCTTGTGAAAGATATATTTCGGTTAGCATCTGGGCATGCTTGTGAAGGGTTATCTTGATTAGGTTAACTAAGGTACCTCTACCATGGGCGACACCATTCCATAGGCTTTGGTCCTGGATTTCATAGAATGGAGGAAGTTAGCTAAGCATGGAGGCTGTTTTTCCTTTGCTGATGCAATGTGGCCATCCAGGGCTTCTCTGCCATGATGGATTGTATCTTTGAACTGGGAACCCAAATTATACTTTCTTCTATA